ATTGCAGTTCACTAAATCCACTTGTATTGACACACTCTTAAGAGGCATTGGAGAAAACGGGAGTACATAATGGTGTAACTAGGTAGCTCATGAATCCTAATTAGACTCTTTAGCTAAGTCACTATTGGGTATTTAATAACTATGATTGAAACTTGAGCTGAAGTTGGTTCAGTTGGATTAAAGTACAATTAGGGTTAAAGTGGAATCTAGCGTTTTCTGCACTACTATATCATGGAGCTAACTAAACTGGAATGGTGCTAGTTACGGATACTTAATTGATTCATAACTATAGTTTCTGTTTAAATTTGTGTAAATGACCGTACAACATTCATTTTTCAGTCTCCATTCTTCATTTTTCTTCTCATTGAAAAAAATTCTCAAAGCTCTAAATCCTTATTAATTAAGTAGTATTTTCGGGAAACTTAATAATTTCTCCCTAGTTTGCAGGTAAAATAAACTGTTTTAGCCATAAGTTCGCACTTTACCTGCACAACAATTTTAATTATTCGTTAGCTTAGATAGTGCGTAGTCATTAAATTTGGTTCCTTAATGTACTTCATTGAATGTTTGTTCTCTCACCATTTCTGAACTTTATCCATTTAATAGGTTCAATTGTTCTTTTCCTCTTATTCTATTGTCAAAACTTTGGATATATTAGGCTATGAAGAAATTCACATACACAGTTTCGTTTACTTAAATCCTACATTTTGATATGTAAAAATAATGCCAGGTAAAAATTATTTTGAATCTGATCATGTATAGGGATTATCGTTAACTATTATGTCTATTAGAATCACAAAAATACTTTGGTTTTTGTCGGCATTCCTTTTTATTAGGCTTCTAGCTATTTGAAGTTTGAGAACTACTCACTTCAGACACAGTTGTACATTATTATTCTTTAGAATTATTTTTAATTTTAATTTTATATTTATCTATCTGTATTCCTTTATTTAATTATATTTTTACCCCGCACCGCTGTTTTACTCGGTAATTTTATATATTTTCATATAATTATATTTTGCAATTTTAAAAAATTGAAGATAGCTGATTTAAAATATCTAGTAATTTCCCTCTAAATCACAACAAATCTGTCCACGCCTTTAAATTCATGTCACACGAGTTTTGCTTATGAATAGTGCCGTAGTATAGTCAAAGATCTGAGGACCAAGAAAAGTATGGCCTCTAGCTTAGTTTCAGTCTTCTTTCATATGTTGAAGTAGTTTGATCTCGGTTTTGCAACTTGGTCGCGTTTGATGGGAGATTTTGATTAACGCATCTTGTCTGAACTCCTTGATCGTAGTAGTCGTGATAATATCCTGTATATTTCTATGAACTTGGTACATTTCCATACGTTTTTCCGGCATTGTAGTAGTCAAATCCATTGAGCCTTACTAATCATATGACCATGTTATAACTCGTCTAAATAGAAAAGGTTAACTGAGAAAGTCGACTAAGGTCTTGACTAAACGACCGGGAACGTAACAAATCCACAGTCTAATGCTGAAAAATGTCATAACAACTATGGCTAAAGACTCCCAAGTAGATGCGTTCATCGAGAATCCTCTGACAACATGGCTAAGTTGAGAAAAAGAGGTATAACCATTAATAATGGCTTCGTAGATTTGTCGTATATCTATATTATTGCATGTATTAAAGTTTATAATATAATCTAATGTGCAAGTTTAACCGACTTCTTATACCTTTCACTAATATCTACATCCATTCTTTCATGTCCGCGGAATTCCCCATCGATATCACCGTTGAACAATACCAAATCTCAATTCAATTGTAATGCGTGGTCTGCTAGGCGTCTGTGTATGGGAGATCCTGTCGTTCGGTGTGAAGCCATTTACAGGACTTACAAACACCGATGTAATGAGGCGTGTGGCTGGGGGTGAGCGACTTTCTCGGCCAGCAGTCTGTCCTCTGACGGCCTATCGCCTTTTGCTCGACTGCTGGATGACTGACCCAGTGCTGAGACCCACATTCGCAGTTCTCAAACCGCGTCTTAGGTACACTTAACATTATGTTGTTACAAAATTGCCACAATTAGCTTCCATCAAGCCCTTAGATGGCTCTATGAAGTAGTATGGTAGGTCATTCAACCTTCAAGCCTTGGTAGCCACGGTTAATTTAGGCGTTTAACATTCTTCTTCAGAGTTCTTAAATTTTTAATTAGGGCCAAGCATCAAGCAGGTTTATACCCTGGTAATAAAACAGATCTAGTCATAG